CCATTAATCCAGTGGCTCATCACCTAGCAGTTAAGCCATCCACCTCTGCTGCCTGTCTGTCCACATGCCCTTCCTACAGCGTCCATGGCCCTGTAGGCATCGTGGCAGACTCCTTTCTGGAGCTAAGGGCAGTTGGGCCAGCCCCTTCTGCACGTGGTGCTCTGTAGCAGAGGGAACTACTTCTCTTTTTATTAAAGAATGATAAAATACACCAGCACACATGGTGGCATCTCCATACAGATGAATTGATGGTCCCTCAGGCCTGGAGGTGAGCTGAACCCTCCCCTCTGTCCCCACAGACACTGGGACCATCAAAGTTGACTTTGTCCTATGTTTCACACTGCCTTGGTACCTTAGTGGGTCCTTCTGGGCTGCTGGTGGTTAGGGGGATGATGTTGCTTTGTTTGAAACCCAGAAAGGGTCATTAAGTCAACCAGTTTGTCTTCCTGCATGGCTAAGTGAGAGAGCCCCAGAAATGCAATGGGCTTCTCTCGTGGGCAACAGCTCATGCTTGATATTTATAGAGAAATTGTGCTTTGAAAATACCCCATTTTTTAGCCTCTCCTGCTGTTCTCTACCTAGGGCTGAGCCTTGCTGTTAATAAGGGAAATGCAGACATCTCTTCACAGTAAAGACAAAAAATAAAACCCCTTTGCTTTCCTTCCCATCTTGTCGGGAGCACCCTGCTGTTCCCTTCCACTTTCTTCCCATCTCACAAAGGGAGTGGATTCTCTCCGTTGTGCTCCTCACTAGAGGACTGGTTGCTGAGCATGTCCATGCAGCCATGGTGTATCCCTTCAGTTGGCTTTTAATAGCAAGCAGAAAGAAAAGTGCAATGGTTTGGGAGAAAAGGGAGAGTTTGGAAGACCTGGGGTTAAGTCTCTGTTGTACTTTGGATTTACTGTATAGCCTTGCAAAAGTCACTTCTGTGCATCTGCTCTCTACCTGTAAGTGTAGCCTCTGTCTGCATCAATGTCATCTGGTCGACTTCTTCAGTATTAAATGGTAGTCATGTGTCGCTTTTAACCATATTCCATCCACGAAGGAAAATATGCGGGTGTTGAAACAAGGGTCACTTTGAAGCCGAGCCTCAGATGTTTGTGTTTCTCAGGTGCTTTCAGTAATATGACCCACGGTTTATGTTACAGGCTTGGAAATACTGCAAAAGGCTATTTTGAGCCCTGCTAGCTTTAATTGAGATCCGGGCTCCTACTGGTCCTTGCAAAATGAGTCTCACATCCTGCACTGTGTTATTCTAGTAAAAACATGTTTCTTAAGCTTTTTGGCTGTGCTTTGGATAGACATTTGTGGTACGAGGGGTGCATAATCTCTGTCACTAAAAGAGTGGGGGCTCTGGCTCTGCAGGACTTGCTGGATGTATGTTGGAATTCTGCTTTCATTTTCTGCTCTGGAAAATCACTGACTGTGCGAGGATCTCCGAGGAGAAAATGCTTGGTTAAAAACTCAGAGGGACACTCCATGGTGAACCCATGGGACAATGCATTTCCCAAGTCTCCTCCTGCCTGTAGGGGCTATTAGGAGATTCATTTATTCTTCTCAAAGCCTGCAGGTTTATAAACACGGGCTCTTTTCTGCAGCTGAGTTGAAAGGAACAACTTCCATTTGATTTCCTTTGGGACTGGAGCTGGCTGTCTGTATTTCTCAGTTCAGGACTGTAGCAGTAGGGAGAAGAGGGAAGGGGGGAAAGCCGGGAGAGCACCGAGAGGGTCTTGGTTTGTGCTGGACTAGGAAAGCCTGCATTGTGGCAAGGATGGGTAGCAAATCTTGTGATTACGTGCCCAGTAAAACTTGTGCTGCTGGAGCAGTGGTTTCCTGCTGGAAGGATTAGCCCCATTAGAGCTCTTTGCTGCAGCATCCCTGGTACAGGTGGGTGGATGAGGAAGGGGCTGAGGACATGATTTGGCTCTTAGGCTTAGGCTGAACTACTTGGCTTTGGAAGGTGGGGGCAAGGGACAGCTTTCCGTGGGCTGGTGCAACACTCAGAAGAACACGCTGGCATTTCTGGGGCCTCTCAACGTCACCAGTATGTTGAAGATGGCTTTGGGCTCATGACTGAGAGATGCTATCACAAGGAAACCCAGAGTCTGAGAGTTTGCAGAGCTCATTGCAGAACTGCCTGGAGAAAACAGGTGGACTGGCTTATCTTTCTGGTTTTTTTCCTATGCTATACTCAGGAAGATTCAAATACTCTTGGGACCTGTTCAGGTCTGAGGCTTCTCTGTAGCTGGTGGGGTCACTTCCACCTTGCAGAATGGATTGAAAGGCTTTTCACTGGAGCTCCTCACCTTCCTCTACAGGGATCGAAGGGTTGTGCTCCTTGGCTTGTGAGACAGAATGACCACAGTTGCTGCAAGAGAGCAGGAAATCATCTCTGTAAAGCTGTCCAGAAAGCCTTGAATTCAGGTACAAGCCTCATGTTTATAGGAACGTAAAAGGAACCATGGAAACTAAATATGGGTCAGAGCACCTGCAAATAGAAGAATTGGAGGGATTGCAGAGTTACCCTAATTTCGCTGCCTTCAGATTTGCTGTGCTGGTTTCAAACCTGCCTAGGATCCTAGGCTCTGAAGGAGTCTTTGGGATCCGTATGAGGAAGGAATTTTCTGGGGAAGGCAGCAGGTAAAAGGCCTCATCTAAATGCCTGTTCCACAAGGGTCCCATGCTGCTCAGTCGTACGTGAGATACTGCTGGCTGTGGTGTTCCTGTTGAGCCTCAAAAGAGGTCAGGTACCTGGAGAGGAATGAAGAGCTTTATGTGCATTGTTGACATGGAACTTAAACTTTGCTTCCCTCTGATCCCTTATCTAGAGGATTAGCCCATGCAGCTCTGCATGCCCTCCTAGGCCCTTAGCAAGGATTCAGCTGTTCTGCATTCCTCAGCTTCATCATGGGAAACTTCTTCACCTAGCTGCTGCCAGCATGCTTTTGGCGACCCTGGGTGTCCCGTCAGCTGTTACAGGCCATTAAAGGATTTGTTTCTCTGTGTATGAAAAGGCTTAATTCAATTCTCATTCTCTCCTGGCATTCCTCAGAGGTGAGTGCGTCCCCTCGGCATGAATCCTCCGATGCTGCTAATTGACTTGAAAGTAGCTCGTGTCTCCTTGGAAATGTCACCCAGCCCTTTTCAAGTGCAATTCCAGGCAATCAGGATCAATATGTTTCTTTAGCTAAGGGTATTAGCACATGACTGACAGCCCTGCGGCATTAGCTTATTCATATGGACTTCCAGATGCTCATTTTTCTTCCCTGTCTCAGCTTTGGTCCCAGTAAGGGGGGACAGGGCTTTGAGGGGAGCCATCCCCTGGTCTGTGTTTGTTCACAGAGCACTGATGGGTACAGTGCTGGCTCTCCCATGCCTGCCCCAAATCTATAGGGTGCTCTTGTCCCCCATCTCCCAGGCAAAATCAAACTGCATCGTCCCATCCACTTGTTCATTGCATCATGGCCTCAAGATGGTTCAGGAAGGCAGGGGCTGAATTTTTCTGCCTGTGTTAATCAGTGCGGCGCTTTGTTTGATATAAGAAAAGGTGTCAGCATGTTTTTGCAGTACCTTTGCACAGAGAATATTGTCTGTGTAATTATCTCTTCTCAGAGCCCTACCCCCTCGGGCTCCTGGGGAGGCTGCGGTCCACAGCAGAGTACTTCCCTTGCTTTCCTCATCATGTGGTGATGCTGGGGTGGTCCTGGTGCCCAAAATATTTGGGTTTTTCATTACATCTTTCAGCAAGTATATATTCTCCTTCTTTCTTGGCTCAGAAATGTTTGTGAATTTGTCTTCCTAGCAGCCCTGTGAGGAAGGGGAGCGCTGCTGTCTCTACTTAGAGGTAGGGGGGTGAAAGCACTGGGAAATGAATTTAGAGGAGCTTACAAAAGCACTTGAGGCAGTGCTTCTGCGAGTGAATTTGATCCGGGCCTCAGTGCCCTCCGTTTTTCTTGTTTCCCTCTCTAATAAGGCTGTCACGGCTGATGCACCCACACCGCTCCTCTAGAGAGACCTCACATCCCTTCCGCATCCCAACTGTCAAAAATTCAGAAACAGAACAAAGAATATTTCAGCTTTTCAGAGGAAGAAACTGAGATGCTGAGAGACTGAGAGCCTTGTCCTAAGTGAGTCAACGTTTCTCAGACACAATTATTGCAGGTGCCTGCCACCCTGCCTCACAGCTAGTGGTGCTCCCAGATCTCCAGAAGAGCTGCTCCCTGGCATCGGCGCAGGTTAGAGCCTCAAGGAAAAAACCTGAAGTTAGCTCCCAAGTGGCAAACATTAATATACAGAGGAACAAGTTGTGCTGCACTGTGGTACCAGAAAAACTTCGAGGGGTTCTCTGCCATGCTGTGAATTTGAGTGTCTCCCTTGCAGGGCTGGTGAAGGCACGTCATCTGCCACTGCCTGGGATTTGTAACTGCTGCTGAGGCAGAGGTGGGGAATCTGTGTCAGGGAGCTGTTGAGTGCACGTTCCCAAAAGACACATCAAGAGATAAACAAGAAAGCCTGAAAGTTTTAAAGTATGAGGCTGCCTGGATACCTGCAGGTGCTTCTGACTGAATTTTGTGTCCTCTGAAATTAGTCAGGAAGGAGTTAATGTGTGTGCCCTGTGAGACAGCCAGAACAAGTGCATCCAAAACTCTGGTAATCAGAGGCAAGCAACAATTATTAACGCCTCGGCATTTAATGTGGCAGATCGCTTACACCCCCAGTTATATTGTGTGTTCAATTCCAGAGCACTCGGAGTTGTCAGTCAGCAGGTCCATAGATCATGGTGACCTTAGCATCATGTCAAGGGGCTTCACTCCATCAGGGATAATGAACATCTCCCACCAGTTTCTTCCAATCATTCATTTGAGATCCAGAAGTTCATCATGCAAATGACAAACAATGTTAATTTTCTGCAAATAATTCCTCCAGATGTCCATGGGATTCCAGCACTCCTTGCCCAGAACAGTAAAATATGTTTGTCTTCCTCCCTATAATTCATCACCAGGCCCACAAATCTCCCCAAACTCTCTATAAACAAAGCGGGAGGCAGAGCGCAGAGGATAATAGTTCACTGCAGACGTGTCTCGCAGTCTGTCCATGATGCACGCGGGGAGAGGAGTGGTGGAAGAAGTCAACAAGTTTCTTCTCAGGTGAGCTGACTTTGACTGCACTTAGTCTTGCAAATACAGTGACTGTGATGGTCTGAGGCAAGCCTCGTACAAACATAAGTCAATGGGGGAGGAAAAACTCAGGAGGAGTATTTCTGGGCTTAAAATTTAGGTCTGGTCTGCAGGAATGGCTAGGTCTGGAGCAAAACCTGGTGCAAGCCTTATCTACGTCTCTTGAGGACTCTCCATTGGATGGTTAGGCTTTATCATGGATCTGTGTAAAGCTGTGTTTTCAGATGAGTACTGAGGCAAATAGGCAGTTTGGTTTCTCCAAGCATCTTTCAGCTCCCTGAACTATGGATCCAGCCAAAAATATATGAAGAGCTCAAATCCAGGGAGGTTTGGGCCATGGAGCACAAGAAGTTGTTTTGGTTTGGACAAATTTGAAGGTATGATGCAGGAATTGGCTCCAGCAAATGTATCTGGAATAGAACAGGCCCATGATGAAGCAGCCAACAAAATGGCTCTATTTTTTACTCACACAAGAGGTCAGCAAGCAGCTAGAACAAAAATACAAGGGGGATGGTGAACATCCTGGGCTCCTGCCAATGTTCCAAAGAATCCAAAGTTCAGGAGAGTGTGTAGGCACCCAGATTGGCCTCAGGCTTGAAGAGCTTCTGTACTTGTGATTTATTTGTCTATATATATATAGGGTTTTTTTCTTTTTAATTTGGTTGGGTATAAAAAAATATATATATTGTTTAATTTGGTTGGAGATATATAGAGTCTTATTTGGGGGGGGGGGGGAAGAGAGAGATAAATACATAAATAAAAAACGTGGACATCTCAAAACTCTTTCTTCTCTGGCTGCTGAGAATACCTAACTGCCTGCTCTTGCCTTGTGTTGGTACCCATGAAGTGCTTGAGTCATCTTGGGAGCTTGGTCCTGAGTTACACCGTGGAAATGGCCTGACCTGGAGACAGGACTGTCTTGGTACTGGTGAATGATGGAACCACCAGCTAAAAGCAAGGCTTGCACATGCTGGAGGAGAGAGCACCTGAGACTCCATGGGAGGTCTTGCAAGGCCACAAGTTCCCTCTTGCCAATGGCACAACTGTGGTGGGTGAGTCACTTAATAGAGTACAGCTTTGAACACCCTTGGAGCATCCTCTTGACTTCAGCAGGGCTTTGCTTTTACAGGTGGGTATTGCTGCTCTGCACTTCTTGATCCATTTGCCACAACCGTAGCAGACCCAGCTTTGCTGTGGCTTTTCCCTCTCCATTCCCCCTGCTACTGCCAGCCCTCAAAGTGCACACCCGCTCCCTCCCCTGCTGGCCTTTTCACACTGGAAGGGTTTTTAAAGGTCCCTCTAAGTGGCAGCTGCTATGTGGCTTTTTGGTGTTTTTTTTATGATGATTTGGAAATTAATTTCTTTCTCGCTGTCATTGGACTACCCTTTCCCCACGTCACAGTGCAGAATGAGCTCGTAACTCTCTTGACTGCCTCATGGCTGAGTTAAGGGGTTCTTCTGTAGCATAGCCTACAGGGTTTTATTTAACTGTGGGTGTTTTGAAGAAAGCAGTGGAGAACTGTCATGCTTTTGCTGTCCATACACTTGGAAAGTTTTTCCTAATGTTTGACTGAAAGCTCCCTTGTTTTAAATTAAGCCTAGGATTTCTTGTCCTTTCTACAACAGAGCTGGGAACAATTGTTTTTCTTTTCCCTTTCCATTTTGCTTGTCTGAAGACTGTAACTATGTCTCCATCCTCTGTAGACTGAGCATCACAAATGCTTTCCATATCTTCTTGCCAACCATCTCCTATAGATTTCCAGTCACTGTTGTCTGTCTCTTTTGGACTGTCTCCAATTTTTCATACTGTCTTGGAGATCAGCATCCCAAACTGGACAACATGTTCCAGCTGAGATCTTAACACTGCAGAAGGCATGTGAGGATAATTTGGACCACTTACGTCTTTTTTGTGCTTTGATCCTGGTTGCCCTTGGCATGATCTTGAACCTGTTTTGGGGCAAGTGGGGTGAAATGTTTCAGTTACTGCCTAGGCCACCTGTTGTTGTCTCCTTGTCACTACACTCAGACACTAATCAGACCATCTGTTGCAGGAACCTGTGTCTCAAATCAGGGATGCTCGGGTGAGCTAATATGAAAGGACAAAAGATGCAGTCTGCTTGCAGGAACTGAAGCTTGTTAACCACCCTGCAGATGCTCTCCATATAGGCTCCTTCATGAGACTGTTTACAGGGTGGTTTAATATGTGCGTGATGACTATTAATATGCAACCTGTGTTGAGTCACACCTTAGCTGATTTGCTGTAGCCTTCCAAAGTGTCTGCCTGCAGCCGGATCAATGCCATGTGGGTTGCTTGTCTGGCAAGTTTAGAGCCTGGAAGAGCCACCAGTGACTTGGATTTAACCCTTGTTGCTGAACACATTGGTGTCTCTCACCTCCCTATTGCTAGAACTGAGAAAATCAGCAAGTGGTCCTTTATCCTTGCTTCCCTTCTGCTTTATTCACTCCTCCAAGCTCCATGCTGTCAACTCTATCCTTACTGATAGCCTTTGACTCCTCCCAAGAAACAGAGGCTAACTGCATATCTGTGCTTTCCCAAAAATGAGTTCTGGGGTGGTGGTGAGCAGTAAGAGCCATTAACAAGATCTGCCTGGACAACCCCTCAGACCTGCGGCGTTTGGGATCAGTCCCTGGGTGTGACACCAGGGCTTTGCTGCCTGTTTAATGTTCCTTCCATAGGAAAAAATTGGAAGGGTTGTGTCCACTGGAGCACTATTCTACTCACAGGGCTGTGGAGGAGCCATGGGGAAAGACCTGAGTCCTTGCTCTTTCCTCATCCCTAGCTCTTTGCATTTTTGTAATTTCTCCTTACAACCATCAGCTGACTCATGGGGTTTTTTGTGCCCAGCCATGCTTTGGTCCCCTTAATAACATCTTAATGACACTCCCGGGGCTTTGTCCCTGGCAGGGCAGCACCTAATCCTGTAGTATTTGCTCAGTTGAATGGGTCACTGGTTTCACTGGACTTGTGTGAAGGACATTATACAGATCCAAGTGCAGTTCAGGGGCTAGGCTATGTCTTGGGCTCTTGCAAGAGGGTGGTTTTATTTCCTCCATCTTGACTTTGCAGTGTGAAGAGCAATATCAAGACACCTAGCTGTGGAGCAGGGTGGCAAGAACAGTCATGAGAAGGAGAGGACTTGATTCCAGCCTGCCTGCTCATTGGCTCGTTAGCTAACTCAGCTGGAGGTAGAAGAGAGGGCGGGTCCAGCCAACAGCTGGAAAAGGTGAGTAGGAAACCTCAGCTTCCTGCGGGAAGGAGGGACTGAGGTCCTCAGGTTGTTCTCCTGCTTTTCAGGATTGGGCCTCAACTAGAGCATGGTTCTGACAAACCTTATGACCTCCTAGCATTAAGGATGGAAATGCAGATTTACTGCAATGTGCTGGTGCAGCTCCTCAGGTGATGCTTGTGTAAGTACAAGATGTGCTGCCTTTGATTTAACCTCTGTCTCAGTGGAAATGACCAAAGAGAACCTGCAAAATCCCTGGTGTTTCTCAGGAGTTTACCCCCAAACGTGGTAGTAAGTCAGTGTAACTGGCTTGTCTTGTCTTTACTGGAGTCTTGTAGGCAATTATCTATTTCTGGCTTCACTTGGACACTGTTTGCAGTCCAAATACTGACAAGTTCTGTGGGACAGCCCCCACCTCCACCTCAAACTTGTCTCCTGGAGTCAGGTGATTAGATGAGACTCTCTTTCATCTAAGTGCTTTTTTATCTTTCTGATCTGTGGAGGGAAGCTGACAGATACCATCTTTAAAGGTAAGGCAAATGGAGCCAACATTTTGTATTCCAGAAATCTCATTATTTTCCAACTAATATGCTGATTTGGGGTGCTGGAGTTTGGCAGTGACACAAGGGTCATTGCTGAACAAAGCAGAAGCAGGTTCATCCTGGAGAAGCCTGCGCAGATAAAATGTGCATTTTCTAGATGTGAATTCTCTGGGTCATGTCAAGGAGTGAGGCATTGTGGGTAATTTCCCTTTGACTCTGACTTGATGGTAGATTTCACAAGAGGAAAAAGTGTGTTTTAAGAAGTTACTTGACACTGATCTGTCCGGAGTGCTTTTCCCAGGCTGGATTTGGGGAAGGATTATCTCAGATTTTCATTTAGTTCTGAAATCCTGGGTATTGGTTTTATAAACTAAAACCCCTTCACAGCAGGTTGCTTGTTCTGCCTTGTTGTTTTAGCTTGATGCATAGGAAGGAATTTAAATTTTCTGAACAGATAGGGCCAGCGCCTCGCTGGGGTAAATCGGCATGGTTCAAATATTTAAAGGCAGATGCATCAATACTGGCAGCTGAGGATCTGGCTTACTTTGATTAAAATCTGATCAAGATTACTCAGCCTTACCAAGGGACTTGGATTACCAGTCTATAAAAAGAAGAGTAGGAGAGGAGAGGACATTAAATATAAAAATAATCCAATGAAGGACGTGAAGCTAAACTCATTGCAAATTGAACAATAATGAAAGCATCCTCCTTCAACAGGTGGAGGGCAGCAGGGCTTGCAGGTGAACACTGGGCTTGGAGCTAGGTCTGAGGTAGAAATATTGCTCTTAGGTTTCTCATGGCCATGGCCCAGCCTTTTAAAGGCAGATTTTTTTTCAAAGGAGAACCTTGCTCATTAAAAAATCCCCAAGGGAGGGTTGCGGGAGGAGATGTGGGTGACAAATCCTGTGGAAAATCCTTGCCTTTGCTTCCTCAGGAGACCTGGGCTAGTGCCAAATCTCACTGGCAAAGAAGTGATTGAAGCTGAGGAACAGAAAATCAACTCTCCCACAGATTTCAAAATGTGAAATCTGTGTTTGTCTTTAGGGTTTCTTACAGTGGTTGAACTTCAACTCTCCCCTTCCATCGCAGCATTTTTTTTGCCTGGTCTTTCTTTTTTAAATGTAAAACGTATTTAAGGAATATTACTATGCTGTGTGATTAGGCTTGATGGACAGTGACTGATAGGGACATTGTACCAAGCTCTTTGCTTGCTGGGCGGTCAGCAACGATGGCCTTTTTCATGCGTCAAGCCACTCAGCACGTGCCTAGCTTTCCCAAGATTTCCTATGCGTGTGGTCCCTAAGCTCAATAAAATCTAGTCTTCCCTGTGCTCTTGTGAAGTAGTGGTGTAGCTACTGGTAGGGCAGGCATACTCGGGTCCTAAGCTAGATGGCTTTTCATAAAATCATAGAATCGTCTAGGTTGGAAAAGACCTTTAAGATCATCAATCCAACGGTTAACGTAGCACTGCCATCCCACCACTAAACCATGTCCCTAAGCACCTCATCTACCCTTCTTTTAAATACCTGTTCTTTAAGTACCTCCAGGAAAAAAACCCAAACCCTATTTGCCCCTATTTGGGGCAGCAGATTTATCTCTCCTCTTAATGGAGCACGCCAACTCAATGGGCTTGCTTGAATGGGAAGAACATCCCTTGGTGATCTTTGTTAAGGGTGTGTGGAAGGAGATCTTCTACGGGGCTTGCGGGACTTGTGATTAGAGTGTCCTTTTGTATCCAAGACAGGCAATAGTGAACAAGATGCACAGTGAGCTAGCTGGCCTAAGAGGCTGTCTGGGGCGACTGGAAGATGCTTTGACTATCTCAGAGGGCTCTGGGAGCATGGAGAGTGGGACTGAGTGGCCTTAGAAATACTGGTGACTTAAACTGATGCATCTAAGATTGCTGGAGGAAAGGCAAGGGGGTTGTGGGACCTCCTGGGCAATTATATACATGGATGGTCAGCAGTATCGCCTGAATGCCCCAGCAGCGATGCCAGTCTGTCCAGTTTTCTTTAATTGGAATTAGGGTCAGATGAGGATAAGATTGTGTTTTAATAAGTATTTGTTAGCAAGTGCTTTCCCTTCCTCCTCTCCCCTAATATTGTTAATTTTCCTTGCAGTAACACGTGCGTCGTTCAGCTTCTGTTGCTCCATGTGTCGTGCCCTGTTACGCCATCTCATTCAGAGCCACAGAGCAGAGGGAATGCTGCCAAGGCTGTTTCTGGGAGTTTGCTCTGGTCCTGCTACTTCCCTGGGAGTGCTCAACTGATCTGTTTTGTTTGCAGGGGGAATAAAATGCTCAAATGTCAGCTTCTGAATGGACTATCAGAGACCAAGGTAAGGACCAGCTGCTCCTTTGTCTTTGTGAGCAGGTGCCTACAAACACATAGCCACGGTAAGTTTTGGGCGATGACTTTTTGAAAGAGAAAAGTTGCTAAGCGGTAAATGTGACCTTCTTGTCCTATTTTAAAAGATATGAGACTTTGCTTAAGGCAACCTTAGGATAAGGTGCTTTCCCCTGCCAGTCCTTTCCCAGGTGCAAAAATGGGGGCTACAAGTGGCTGTGATACCCTGTGGAAGGGTAATCTGTCTGAGATGCAACTGTATTTTCATATGGGCTGTTTGTGAAACAGTGTTAAAAAACATTGTTAATTGAAATGCATTGGTGAACACATTTTTAAAACACCTGCTATCTTGTTGGAGACATGATTATACTTACACAGACTAAACTGCTGCAGGGAAGGTAGAGATGTGGTGCTCTCTGCGGCTGGCTGGGCCATTCATTTGTTAGCACGGGGTTGGTTTTCTGATGACTCAGAAGGGAGCTCGGCTGCCCCTCAGCTATTTGCAGATCTGAAGATCAGTGGTATTGTGGTTATGAACCAGAACTCTGAGTATTGCACTGAGCGGAGCTGGGACCAAAAGCCACCTCAGTCTCAAAGTGCATATAAAAGCAAGCAGCTGAGGGTTCCCAAGTGCCAGGTTTGCACAGGGCACTCACTTGCAGGCAAGTCCCAGAAAAATAATAAGGGGGATGCTAGGTAAGGGATTCTTGCTGCTTGCCTCAGTTTCTTTCAGGCCATGGGAGGGAGCAGAGGGAATTAAAAATTTCAAGCCTCTGTTTGAACCATCTGAAGTAGATCAGGAATGAGAGATCAATGTTGTGCAAAAACAGGGGCTTTACTACTGCAGGAGCTGGTGATGCTGCGTATCTTATACTTTCTGATTTATAATTCCTTCCTGGTCTGGAGTCTTCTCTCAACTGTCTTTGTATGTAAAGCCTGAGGAATATTTGGTGGGAAAGCCCCTTTTCTTGTAGGACATGCCTGTGAGCCTTCTCTACCAGGTAACAATGACTGCAGCAGTAGGACCCTCTTTCTGAGGTCTCTGAGAGTTGGACAGGTCAGTTGCCCACACCCAGTTGTAATACCCTTCCTTCTTGCCTTGCGTTCTCTTCCCTGAGAAAACAGGGTTAATGTGTGTTTAGCTCCTTTTTGCCCACCCCTAATAACTTTCCAGCCTGATGGCTGATTGCAGCTGTGCGTGCCAGAGATCTTAAAGATGAGTTCCTACCAGCTTGATATAAATAGATGGTTAGGGAGAAGACTTTATCTTTGCCCCTCTCTGCCAATGGAGTTCAATCCTTATCAGTCCAAGAGCATCTGTGTGTGAGAGAACGAGGAAAAGAGAGATGTTGTGAATGCCTATGGGGAAAACTGCATCCTACTCCATCCTGGAGAATCCCTCTGCGATGTGTAACATGGAAAATGGAAGTATTGCTGGCTCTGCTACTGGATGAGCACTGTATGAGGCTTTCTTTGTTTGCTTTCACCACAGCCTTTCTTCAGAGGCTGGAAGCAGTGATGTGTGTGGTGTTGCTGGCCTGAGTTAGAGCAGAGAGCTCAGGGACAGGAGCCTGGAACTGGAGCAGAGGATTGCATCCTTCTTCCAGGGGGGATGAGGCTGTTTTAGCCTCTGGCTGGTTGATGGGGCAGCTTTCCCCTGCGGCAGTACTTGCTTACCCTGGGCAATAGCCACTGTTTCTAGGATGGTCCTCTGGCTCATTACCCAGCTCCTTTCCTGCCCTCTTTGCCTTCTGCAGAAAGCCATTTAATCAACAGTGTATCAAAATCATCTGTCTATGCTGGTGTCAACAACCCAGCTTCAGGGACATTTTAAACAATTTTCTTTCCACACCCTGTAATGGATTTCATTGCCAAGGGGATGGAGAGTGGGGCAGCAAAGGTATTTTAATTACATCTGATTGTGGCATCTTGCAGGCTTGCCCTGTCAGTTGTTCTGGCACAGCACCATTCAGAGCCTGCTTTTGCCAGCACCAGCATGTTAGCTGGAGGTTTACTGGTCTCAGAGGAAAACATTGATATTTCACTCCTGACATCATCTTGGGGCTGTGACTTCTCTCTCTACCCTGCTTTTGTGGCATCGGCTTCTTCCACACTAGAGGATTTCAGTCCTTGCATACTATGTCGCTTAGAAGCAGTAAAAACCACAGTCACCTGCCCTGTTGTGTGGGCAGGGCAGAGTTACTTTGCTCTTAAGAGAACCTGCCTTCCTGCAAGGGAGATGTCTGAACCCTTTCCCCTACTCACATCTTGGTTTCACAGCCTGCCCACATAAAAAGGGCTTCTCTTTTTCTTAGTCAGGCAGGGGAGGGTTGAAATGCTGCCTCCAACAAGACTATCTGGAGGAAGAAGGAGGGAACGAGACAGGGAAAGCTGCTAGTTTTGCTGTGCTGAAACACCCTGATCAGACCCGTGGGGCTGGATCAGCGGTGGAGTAAGTCCTGGGACAGGCAGGAGTGTGGCAGGTGCAATAAAGCACATTTTCAGAAGCGACTGCTCACCAAACAAGAGGAACTCCAGCTGGGTGCACGTTGAAATGTCAATGACTGTTGTATCTTTACATGGCTTTAGGTGTATTTTCACTAGCAGTCGGGACTAGTGGTATCTGCAGTGCTGCCTGCATGTTTTCTGGAGCATTCAGCAGGTAGCAGTTCCCAGTGCCCATATTTGACCTGCCTATTCAAAGTGTTTAGCACGCAAAAGGCAGAAACTATTTGAATCTAACCTGGGGTTTGGAAGAAGGAGAGTCCAAGAAGGAGAAGGACAGACTTAAGGCCATTTTTTTTATATGACTACTAATATGCATTTCCATTCTTGCCAAAGCTTTTGGTTCTGATTTAATAGGAAGCTTAATCTTCAATATCCACAATTTTTCAGTGTTGGAATGTGTTTGTGTTCTTAACAACACTCATCTGTGTCATTTCCTCCTCTTAATAGGTATAACCTCAGCTGCAGATTAGAGAAGTGTTTTGTTTGTGATTCCTAGATGCTCTACACTTGATGCATTGTCTTCCTACAGACGCAGGGCAAACACTGCTCCTCCCTTCTGGCCTGGGTTGCAATGATGGATTAAGTAGGTAAGTAATAGAGTGGTAATGAGATAACCACTGACATCGAGCATTAACGTGGGAATAAATGAAGTTACCATCCAGAACTAATGGCCTGAACTATCACTGGGTTGTAATTAATGAATGTGGTGGCTGAGATTTACAAGGATATTTTAGGATGCTGCTTGCATGCAGCTTTGGGTTTTATGGCTTGGTTGGAGAGAAATCAATTAATGCCAAGAACTTAATGAATGGGCAGAAGCTGTTCTTTGTCAGTTTGTAGTGCCCCTTTTGTGGAAGAGGCTAGACTGGCACATGTGGAGTATCTGCCTTTTCTTTACTTCAGCAGGGTGGAAGAAGGCAGGATGTTGTGGCCTCTGACTCCAAGTCACTCACTCTTCAGTGCCTAGTAGAGATGCTGCAAAGTATTTTGTCTTCTGTTTTCTTAGGGCAGAGCAGCAGGAGTCTTTGTGGAGACAGTACATTTGAAGTGAACCCATGCAGCAGGCTGCAAGTCTGCTTGTATGTAGAAAGGATTGCCAGTGATGGGGATTCTTCAGCCAGGGTCTCTGAATTGAGCAATGACAAGCTGCCCTGTTTTGCCCCATGAAGGTAGGGCATCTAGTTACTTCTTCAGGTGGTCTCCTCCCTGCAGCTGTGGCTCTGTCTCCTGCGTGTCACCCTCTTCCTTGCCCTGCAGTCTCGCTCTGGTGTCCTGTGTGATTCGATGACTGCACCTACTGCATGAGCCTCCTGGAGGAGGAGTTGAGGTGTCCATGCTGCATGCACGCAGTGTGCCCATGCTCAAGGGGCCTTGTCTGGAGAGCTATCCCTCTCTGCTTTCAGAGCCTACTAGGCATGTGACCTTGCTAACCACTTCTCAGATGTGTGAGTAACACTTTTGAGGTGGTTGCTAGGCTCTTGCAGAAAACACAGCAGAGCAGTCAAAATTCTTCATGTTAATTGGTAGGAATACTCCAGCAATCTCACTGCTGCCTCCCTCATCTTTCCATGGCAACACTCTCTCTACAGCAGCCCAGGTGCTTGTGGTTCGATATAGTGGGATTTTTTGAGCCCTCTGTCTTCCAAATCGGCCCTTGGAGCATGAAGGGAACATCTGTACTTTTAAAGTATAGGCATCATGTGATGCATCAAATAGCTTCCCTTGGTGTAACCATATTCCTTTTTAACACCGTCAGAGATGGGAAACTTTGGAAACATGCCTGAAATGAGCCCTTGCATCTCTTTGGTGGAAAGAGCTGTTGCCCTGTTTTTCTGACAGGGAGAGAAAGGTGCTAGAACAGTCCTGAGTGTTTCTCTTCCTTCCCATGACCTGAGCCATCACACCTTTCTGTGAGCTGGAGAAAGGAGAGGGACCACAGCTCACAGCATCTGGTAAGCGAAAGGAAGCACAATTTTTTTCTCTCCTGCAGAACCTAGCCTGGATGTCTCCTTCAGGAAGCCAGGATGGTGGCTGGAAGGAGCTGGAGATGAGAAGAGGGAGAGTGGACAGGAGAGAGAAAGTTCAGGCATTGCATCATCCTCACCTCTGCTCCCTGCTGTGAATAAAGGTGTGCAGGACACAAGACAGCACAAATACAGGCACTGCCTGTTGGGCGATGTCCACACTGGCAGAGTTGGGCAGAACTGGGCGTTGCAGAGCACAGGGCTGGTACAGAGGACAAGGTGTCCTCTCTTCCTGCTCCCCACCTCTCTGAAACTTCCTCCATGTGTATTCTAGCACCATTATCTCTTTTAGGACCTGTTTCACAGGCATTTTTAATGATTCCAGGGGAAGATGAGACTCAGATGGCCCAGCCCAAATCTGCCCAGACTTGGGGAGGTTGCCGCTTTGCCTGGAAGCAATAAATTTCCTTGGTGCAGGCTCAGTAGTTTCCTTCCATGCTGAACAGGAGGAAGAAACTTCCACGTGCTGGACCAGCACAAGCCAAGACCCAAACTGAACAAAAAACAGACAGTGTATTCAGGGATATGTAAATCCTCTTCCCCAAGCCTTGGGAAGTTTATTGCCCTCAACAAAGTACACAGTGTGTCTGTCATTCCCGAGGAGCCCAGGCGGGCTGTTATGTGACAAGGGAAAATTACCCAGGCTGTTCTCCAGAAGGCAAGTGAGCAGGAATTTTCCTCCAACCGGTTCAGGACAAAGTTACTGTAG